GTCCGTTCTGTTTCTGGAGCCAAGTTTGATCTCACAAAGAAATGCTTTGAAGATAATTATTAAGAGTGGGTAAGAGTGTTTGTTACGAATGGAGAGAAAATATATGCATATTCTATTTTGCATTTTTCACATTATTGTCGTTTAGTTGTCGATCCTTACAAAAAACAAATGACACAGAGTACAAATATAAAGCTCAAACAAGTTTTCTCGAAATATGCTTGGATAAATGAATATTATTAGCGAAATTTTTTTTCAATTCTATTTTGCATGTTTGACATTATTGTCGATATAGTTATCAATCCTTATAACAAATGACACGAAATACGAATATAAAGTTCAAACTCACGCACGAAACGAAAATTCACAATCAAATTTTACCGGACGAACCGATTCATGAAAGCAAAAGCTCCATCATTCATCAAATCGCTAATTGATTCGCAGGAGAACCATCTCTACGAAATAAGAAGAAACCTCAAGTTCTATTAAGATTCCGAACTTCTCCCACACCTGCAGACCCGACGAATGTTCCAAGAACAACGCCAACCTCCATAAACCATCTTCCCTGACAACCTAACACGAGAACGAATCCGATTAATTCTGCATGAAAGAAAAAAAGAAAACAAAAAAAAAAAAGGAAAAAGAAGCCTACGAAGCCTACCACCAAACAACCGGAAACGATTTCGCCGATAATCACACATATGTTTAGCTGAAAAATGATCGAAATCTAGTCGGCCTCTAATCGGTCGATAGCGACGATTCAGATTCTACGCCTCGATTCGGTAGCTCGATCGTGCGAGAGAGGTTGGCCGGAGATATTCGAGATTAACGCGTCGAAGGCGTGCGTGTTCACGCATTACGCCGGCCCCAGGTTCACGAAATAGATTCCTGGCCCGTGTAATTTAACGGTAGTGGGTTAACGAGGGCAGGGCGCGCCGCTCGTTACGACAAAACTTGCCCCGGCCCCGGAGGATTTTGAGTAGCGGCGGATTGACGGAGGGCCATAATTACGGGGGAAAAGGCCGCAGAGGCTCGTCGACGGAAATATCACCGTGGCCCATGCGGTTCTTTTACCTCAACGCGCCGCCGGCAGCACGCACTAATTGGGGAGAAGCGCGCGCGTACGTCTCCAGCGCTCGCGCTTCGCCCGCCACGTGAATATTTTTATAGGAGGCCTGGCGAGTGCGCGCCGACGACCGACCGCCACACCACGCTCCGCGAAGGCGGAAGGGGGGAGGGGGTTGCGCGCAGTCGGAGACAGTGAAAAGAAAAGAAAAGCGAAAAAAGGAAGGAAGGAAGGAAGGAAGGAAGAAAAGAAAAGAAATAAAAAAAAGAGGGAAAACGATCGAACCACTGGCTATCCATCTTCTGACCGCGATTTTTCTCTGCACCTTTTTTACCCGCCTCTGAAAATCTCCTCGCGACCCTCTCCATAAGCTAAAAAGGCACAGGAGAGACATCCCTTGCCCGTCGCCCGGACACACCGATGGATATCTGTTCGAAGCAACAACATCTACTCGACGCGACCACTTCTTTTCTCTTTTTGCTCTTAGCAAATTTGATTCTTTGGAACTGCGTCTTTTCGTTGGAAATGGTAACGACGGGGAAAGTGAAAGCTCTTGGTCATATTTCTATTCTTTTTTGTTTTTTTTTTTTTTTTTTTTTTTTTT